CTGAAATCACGAATGGTTTGACTCACTGCTTGGGATGCCTGTTAATCAGCCTGCATTTTGGCCTCTGGGTCCTCACCAGACCTCAGCAGGGAGGGGCACCTCTCAGATCTTTTCCATCAGTGGCAGCAGGAAAAGAATGTTCATCAAATGTTATCTCAGTCTGTTGAACCAGGGTTGAAGTTCTTGGTCTGCCCAAACCGGCTCCGGATGCAGGGAGAGATAAGATCCGCCTGGCTCATCTCCTCTTCACCAATGGGAAGACTTTTCTAAGGCCCGGGGTCTGTCTGGGCCAGGGGATTACACGGCCTCTTCGTGGAGCCTGGAGAGTTATTCTTCCAGACCCAAAGAAGATGGCGCGTCATGTGGTTCCAAAGCAAACCAGGGGCCGACAGTCTTCGGGGTAGAGTGATTTTTCTGCATAAAGGTCCTGCGGGAAGTTGGGGTGATTTGTTGCTCTTGGGCCGGGAAGTGGGGTGGAGGGGGATGAGAAAGGCGGGAGGGGGCAGGCCATCCTCATCTTCTCGGCCTGGATTTATGTCAGACTTCTGAAAGTGGAGCTGCTCACGGGGTTTTCGTAGTGACCCAGAAGACGGGTTGGAACAAGGTCAGTCTGTCTCCTTAGTGTCTGGAAAGCTTTTTCTTGGAATTCAGGTCAATAAAATCCAAGGGATGAAAGGAAAAGTTTCAAAGCGAACACACCCAGTTTTCCCCACTTCTACACCCTGGTGGAGTCCACCCGAGGTGCTGTCCTTCCTTGGGTCTGCTGAAACGCTGAGTGTTCTGAAAGTTCCCCTAGGGTCTGTCATCGCCCAAGAGCCTTCTCTGGTTTCTGTAAACCAGACATAAATTCCTCTCTTCACGAATTCCTGGAGCATCTATTGTCTGTGCTATTTTTATGCCGTGCGTGATTGCTATTAGGAATCCCAGTGATTTGTGTGCAAGATCATATTATTTTCCTGGGTCGTAAGTTTCCAGAGCGTAGAAGCTAGGCCCTGGGTATAGTCAGTGGAAGAGGATGGAAGGCCGATGAGTACGGATGTGGTCAGCATTAATGAAGGGATGGAAGGGTGTGGGAGACCGTGGGGAACGGGGGAAGTTCTCCTTTAATGGAAAATGGATAAAGATTAGTAATGAAAGACGCCCCTCGTCCACCAAGTAGAGGCTTTGCGTTTGCTAACTTTGACCAAATCCCAGGGACTTTATAAATGATGACGCTCCACTCCTCCCATGAACTTCAGGTCCAGTTTAAAACCTTCACTTGAAAGAGGTCGGTTTAGGTCGTTTCCTAAGAAACAGGTAAAGTAAGGAGTGCCTTTGACTGTTTTTATTGGTTTGGGATGCGTGATGACCGAAAAGTTCTCGAAAGGCGAGCTGGGGAGACCAAGAGGTACTTTGGGCTCTTAGGACTGGTGCAGGTAGGACGGATGGGCCGCCCTTGGTGACCCGGTGGGAGACAGGGGCCTGGGGAAGAACGTGGAATTCCTGTGGGTCCATCAGAAGATCCAAGGTCAGCTGGGGACTCGGGGTGCTGCACAGGGTGGACAGGTCTTCTCCTTTTTCTCTCCCTCCCTCCCTCCCTCCCATCTTTTCCTGTTTTTCCCTGTTCTTTCTCTCCCTCATCGTCTCCTTGGTCTTTTCTGTGGAACGGGGTTTAGGAGACAGAGCAACTCTCCCGGGTCCTAGAGCGCAGGAGATTCTTGACCACTGAATTTATTGATCTGTTCTTTCAGTCACTCGTGGCCTGAAGAAGGAAGGAGTCTTGTCAGGAGGCTGTTGAAGTACAGAGGCCCAGGTGAGAGGAAACGAGAATCCGAGGCCGACTTAGGAAAGGCATGGGTGATGAGTTGGGGGAGGCCCGATTAGGATTTCCAGAATTTTCTGAAGCAGATGCATAAGAGAGATGACCTTGCTGTGCCACCTACACTTCTGTGGCTTCGGTTGAGCCCAAGGAAAAGTAGACTAAGGAGTGATGAGCAGAACAATGGAGTAACCCGGTCATGTGAATCCAGTTAGATAAAACCCAGAGGGTGACTTCCCTAGAAGGCTTTCCTGCCTCGCATTGAATTGATCAATGATGGAACATTTTTAAAATTGACCCCCAAAGTCCTGTGGAAGGCAGAACAGTGGCCTCCCAAAGTTGTCCGCACACTAGTCCCTAGAATCTGTGAATGTGTTGTGACCTTGAAATAGGGAGATTATCCTGGATTATCCAGGTGGGACCGAGGGTACTCACAAAGATCCTTAAAATGCGTTTTACTTGGCCGTAAGGAAGAATGAAGATGTGTTACTTGCTGGTGAGTGGATGGAACTGAGAACGAAGCCAGGTTTAGAAAGCCAGGGGTGGATGTCTCCTCTTATGTGAGGAAGCTAGAGGGAAATAAGGAATTCAAAAAGGGGGGTCCTAGGAAGAGAGAAGGGAGACAGGGCGTCGAGAAAGAGGAACGAGGGAGAGGGAGGAGGGATGGGAAAGGGGGAACTGTGGGAGGGGGCTGACCAAACTGTGCCTTGTGCGGGAATGAGCAGACCACCACAGATTCCACTTTGATGTACAACTACAGTGCATCTGTTAAAAAGTGAATAGAAGGAAGGCGAGCGGAATCGAGGAAGGGAATCGGGGAGGGAAGAGGAGAGGGAAGGGGTCATACTGGGGACTGGAACGAAGCAGATTCTGTTATATGCACTTATAAACATGTCAAAATGAATCCCACAATTAGGTCTAACTAAAATGCACTGATTAACAAAAAGGAAAGAGGGGGCATAAGAGTCAGTGTCCAACGTGAAAGACTTTTACTTGACTGGCTACTGCGGACTTTGAAAAAGGAAGGACAGCATGGATCTCCAGAAGCCAGAGCAGCCTTCTGGCCTCTAGAGCTGTAATACTGTACATTCTTGATGTTCAAGCCCTTCCCTTTGTGATAACTTGTTATAGCAGCAGTAAGAACACATACATCTTCAAAGTCTGAGGCTCTGGGGAACTCTGAAGGGGGAAGTCAGTAAACAAGTGAAATCTCACCTTAGCATTCCCTCATTTAAGTAGATTTTCTATTGTCACAGCAGAACCCTCAGTCAAAGGCTAGCTTTTGGTAAAGGAGACACAGGCATCTTGAAAAATAACTGAATCTGGGCCCAGGACTGGCTCTATTACATAGAGTATGTGTAATACTGAATATGCAACTTAGCTACCTAGAGCCTCCATTTCCTCTTTTGGAGAAGGTAAAATATCATTTCATAGATTTTTTTTTTTGTGTGTGTGAGCAATTAATTAGAGAACATATACACTGAGACTTAGGCCATAGAGCTACATACAGGATGTTAGAGCAATCTGTATTGGTTCAGGACTTACCTCCTCTGTGAAGTCTGTCTTGATTGCCCCAGTTCTCCTTGTTCTATGTCCTTTACTGTCACTTCAACATTTGGTCTTTGACTTGTACTGTTTTAAACAATGTGGTGCCTAGACAGTGTATTACCGGGCTCTATTGGTGTAAGATGTATGAACTCTTGCCAGTCCCTGATCCTCTCTGGTCTGGATTTTTTCCCCTTTAGTACTAGGAATAAAACCCAGGGCCTTGTGCAAGGTAGGCAAGCGCTCTACCACTGAGCTACACCCGCAGTTTTATTGTTATTCAAATACGAAAGTTTTAGAAGGATCCATTCCAGCTCTGACATTCACAGAATGTCAGAGCTGGAATGTTATTTGAATAACAAGGTGGTCATGAATGGCGAACCCAGGCATCTGTGTGACTTTGTACGTGGATGTGTATGTGTGTGTGTATGGCCCCTTCCTCCTTGATGGGGTTATAATGTCTTTCATCCTCTGTATGCAGCAGGGGCCCAGCCAGGTGGCTTTTCCTGGGTACAGAACGGGAGTATTGGGGGTGTAAGCCCCTCAAGAATCAATCTTAGTGGCCCAGTATCGGGGCTGTGGCTTGAATAGCTTTGGGGGAGATCGCCCTGCCCCCCAACATCTTGATAAGATGACTAATTAGTTTCTCTGGCTGTCCCCAGCCCTCCAGGAAGATTGGGGATAATCTGATTTAACGCATCTGAGATTTCAGATTTCAGACTCTGGAGCTGTCATTACTGGGAGCCAGGGCCTAATTAGGGTCAGCAGAATAGACTCAGGTGTATGCAGGACATTGTTTTCCCCCCTGTTCCCATCAAATAACTATCTGCTTTGTTGAGATGATAAAAGTTCCCAGACTCCTCTGATTCACTTGGCTGCATATTACAGGGAAGTGGGCTGATAAGGCCCAACCGCACAGAATGCCGCTCATCCTGTCTCCCGGGGGGCAGGTGCCTCTGGAGAGCTTACCCAGCTTGTGAATTCCTGGGCGAGAATCCACCATTCCTCTCCCTTCCCTTCTCTTTGTGTCACCTACACAGGGGGTGTGAGTCAGAGCCGTGGGTGACAGGCTCCTGGGGCCAGGGGGGATGT